CGTTGTCATAGAAATAATTGGAAATAGCTTAAGACAATGGCAACACTTTTCAATGTACAAGCAATGTTTGATTTCATTCTAAAATTTTAAAAGCTTTAAGATTTGGCATTTGCCTAAGGAATGTTGAGCTTGCGTTACTTATTTTTAATATTTTCTAGTATTCTTCATATTTCATAAATATTTAGACTTTAAAGTTAAGAGATTTCGAGATTTAAAATTAAATCTGAACACAGATGAATTTCAATGTCTTCACTAATTAGTATAAGGTGTAGAAATATTTAAAACAATTGAAATTATTTCGCTATAATGTAATAGAAAAAATAATAGAAAACTCTAAATGAATACTCCTGTAGTAGTTCGTCTGATCAGAATTAGCTTTCAATTACAAACTCTTCCTAAAATGTGTACAATACTTAAAACAGTTTACATTTATGAAATAATCTCAAATTGTTGAGTGTCAGACTGATCTTTGAATATTGTGGCTTCTATTTCCATTCTATTGATACAAGTACATCTATTAATATAATTAACTGGAAGATTCTATAATTCATAAAAACAGTCTAATATAATGAGGTGCTTTTTAAAATGTAACAAGATAATATTATATCAAAAATCAGTTTCAATAGAATATTTGCAATTAAATTAAGCATTATAATTTTATTCCGGACCTGGTCTATTGTTCCGAGATGGATAACTTTTCGGAGTGGTTAATAAATTCTCCCCTCACCAACTGCCTAAGCTTTTGTGTTATATAGAATATAAAAAATATAACTATCAGATATTCTTTAAATTCTATTGATTTTTATGTATGTATATTTACAATGCGACATAAAAGATGGCGCACCCTGTATGTATGTATTTATGTATTTTTAGTTCGTACAAATGTATTGTTGATTTGCTTTTTTGTAATTTTATTTCCTTTTTCAGTTGCTATTTTAACATTCAACATTATTTTTTGTGAGGTCAAATAACGTGCCTGACTATCTGTGAATCGGAGATCATATAATCGTTTTTAGATATGTGCTTTTTGTCTTTATCCTAAAGATGTTTGTCGATTATGTGTTTCTTTACAAATAAACAACAACATACTGCTATTTATTTTAGATTCACTTTACAAGCAACAAACTGTTATTGAAACTGAACGGCAGAGTATCTGCAAGTCGATCTTTGCAATCAGCTGCAGGTCTTACTTGTAATTGTTTTTTTTTTTTTGTTCAGCTCAACTCTTGCAACAGCCACTGCCAACCAACTGCCTAAGCTTTTGTGTTATATAGAATATAAAAAATATAACTATCAGATATTCTTTAAATTCTATTGATTTTTATGTATGTATATTTACATACCGACATAAAAGATGGCGCACCCTGTATGTATGTATTTATGTATTTTTAGTTCGTACAAATGTATTGTTGATTTGCTTTTTTGTAATTTTTTTTCATTTTTCAGTTGCTATTTTAACATTCACAATTATTTTTTGTGAGGTCAAATAACGTGCCTGACTATCTGTGAATCGGATATCATATAATCGTTTTTAGATATGTGCTTTTTGTCTTTATCCTAAAGATGTTTGTCGATTATGTGTTTCTTTACAAATAAACAACAACATACTGCTATTTATTTTAGATTCACTTTACAAGCAACAAACTGTTATTGAAACTGAACGGCAGAGTATCTGCAAGTCGATCTTTGCAATCAGCTGCAGGTCTTACTTGTAATTGTTTTTTTTTTTTTTTGTTCAGCTCAACTCTTGCAACAGCCACTGCCAACCAACTGCCTAAGCTTTTGTGTTATATAGAATATAAAAAATATAACTATCAGATATTCTTTAAATTCTATTGATTTTTATGTATGTATGTATGTACATGGTGCGCCATCTTTTATGTCGGTATGTAAACATTGAATATCTTTGAAAATATGAGATATTTTTATTTAATTTGGTTCTGTACAATTTCTTGAACTGAGGTTTTCAACACTGGTCTACTCAAGTCAATCGGTTCACTAATGACAAAGTTATTCAATATTTACATACCGACATAAAAGATGGCGCACCCTGTATGTATGTATTTATGTATTTTTAGTTCGTACAAATGTATTGTTGATTTGCTTTTTTGTAATTTTTTTTCATTTTTCAGTTGCTATTTTAACATTCAAAATTATTTTTTGTGAGGTCAAATAACGTGCCTGACTATCTGTGAATCGGAGATCATATAATCGTTTTTAGATATGTGCTTTTTGTCTTTATCCTAAAGATGTTTGTCGATTATGTGTTTCTTTACAAATAAACAACAACATACTGCTATTTATTTTAGATTCACTTTACAAGCAACAAACTGTTATTGAAACTGAACGGCAGAGTATCTGCAAGTCGATCTTTGCAATCAGCTGCAGGTCTTACTTGTAATTGTTTTTTTTTTTTTTTGTTCAGCTCAACTCTTGCAACAGCCACTGCAGTGGCCAAGGAAATTATGCGGCAGGGACGCAACCATCGACTAAACCGTCAGCAAACCCTTGGCTGCCCTCACGCTGCGCCTGTCAATGGCGCACAAAAAGCCAACAATAACAATAACACAAAAAGCTAAATTAATAACTTTGTCTCGCCAGGCTGCTGCTTCTGTGCGCCGTGCCTTTGCCACCGTGGACGTGGATGGTGCAACTTCAACTTCCACTGCAACTTCCACTGCAACTGCAATTGATCAGCTGCGCATGATTATGGGCGTAATTACAGTGGGGTGTCACCACCAAGAGCACCACCAGCACCACAAGCACCACCACTTCTAGTGTTGCCATAAAGGCCAAGCCGGTGCCCGACTGGGCGGGGCTGCGCGCCAAAGTTTGCGCACAAGAATGTGCAGCGTTTTGCATATTTATAGGCGCTGCAACGCGTTCGCTTGTAATTATTTATTACATACATTTTTATAAGTATTTTACCCACATAAAAAGCCATGTTTGGACCCGACTCTTGCGGTAAAGTACACAAAATTAAGCCAAATTACATACACTTTTGGCCGAGATCTCATTGTGGCGATAAGTGTGATAGCCAAAGACTTTATCAAAACGGACCGCACACGCAGTTCAGTGCCACAAAAAAGAAGAAGAGAAGAAAAGAAAAGAAAAAACTGGAAGCACTCAACAACTGTAATTTCACGCAACTTTGAGCATACATGCATAAAATATTAATTGCACTTCTTGTACTATAAGCCAGAATATAATAACCCAAGCCGCATATGCGCATCGAGAGACTAATTGTGCGAAGTCACTTTTTATTTGGCCGTCGCCGAAGTAAAAAGTCAACTGCCACACAATACAAGTAGTTCGGAATGGTGGCAAACAAATGGAGTTTGTCAACAAAGGCCGCTCAGATCATTAATAAAGCGCCAGAACCTGCAGCACTCGAGGTTGTCTCCACAGTAGCAAAGCGAGACTAAAACGCCCCAGCTGGCGGTCATCATTTATCAGTAGCCAGCCGATAATAAAGCCGATAATCGCAGTTGCAACAATGGGCTTCGGCTCTGACGCGGCAACAGGCCACAGATTGATTGCGTTAACAAATCGCTCAGCAGCAGGTGGCGCCTATGCACAGTGGTATGAAATAGAAAATACATTTGTTTTCGCTTCTTTTTAAAGACAGTATAATTGTTGCTCGAACCATATTGTTTATATATAAATTAAAAATTATTTGTAAATAAGTCACTTGTTGGAGTGTAACTTTTCAAAAAGTATTTTGTTCACTCTTCAACTTGGAAACTTTCCTAGTTTTTTTGCAGAATATAAATATACTGGAGATATGCTAAGTTAAGTTAAATAGAGTCATCCAGCTAAATACATACACATCGGATTATAAAAATAAGTCACCTGTTGGAGTGTAACTTTTAAAAATGTATTTTGTTTACTCTTCAAGTTGGAAATTTTACTAGTTTTTTTGCAGAAGGTAAAATAGAGTTCTGCAGCTAAATATATACACTTCGGAGTAAACGATTCTGAATAGACAAGGAAGCGCAAAAATAATGAACTTAAAGTTATCTGATAGTTGATTCGGTTCATTTTTCGCTCATAACTAAGAACTTGGTTAAGAACCCCCCTCATCCTTTAGAAACCTTTTGTAGTCCAGATTAGCCCCTCTAGGCATTTTTTGAATATTATTATCCAATCCAGGTATTCTAAAACTTCAGCACTTCCTATTCCCCTTATTGACTAATCCCCCTAAAAGCTTTTCCTGCACATTCACAAATTAAAAAAAGAGAATATTTTAGATTAATTCAAACTATTCCTAAGCTCAGAGTATACCCAAAACAAAATTTGTTTAAATTAAATTTAATATATATCCTCAAATTTGCAGCCCTTTTATGCAAATTTATTGTTTATGTAATTTTATATAAAATATTGGCACATTTCTTAACGCAAAAAACAATTAAATTCAATAATCTGTTCATATTTAAAGCCATTTTTTTAAATTTATTAACATCATTATAACAACATTAAATTAACATCAAAAAAAGAACTTCTTGGACATTTTTCATATCGGAATTAAACACAAAAGTCTTTGCCTAATTCCTTCCTTGTAATGGAATGGGAGCAAACTTTATATTTAAGTTAACAGATTCTTGGGGCAAGCTCTTAGCACATAGGAGTTACAAATTGAAATTTTGAAATACATTTTGGAACGGTCCTTTTAGTTTTCTTGTAAACACATTAAGCAAATGTAATTGGCAACTAGTATCTATAAACTGTTACTATTTCTGTTTTTAAAACAAGCCCTGCTTTTGCAGTATTGCTAAATACTTAGCAATCGATCTTAATTGCCTGATTGAAGAACTTGCATTCAAATTCCGTTACACTGTGAGGCGCCCTCCAGCCTAGCAATCCAGGCTGAAGATGTTTACCGCCTTGACTGATTGAAATCTTTCAATAATAATGGTCGCACACTCGCTTTGGGAGCCTATCCACACATCTGCCTCCAGCCTGCTCCCTCCCGCAGCGCTGGGGCACCACAGTGTACTCACCTTTTTCCGTTGCGTCGCCTCCGTTTGGTGGCATAAACGGTGCCCAGCTGGCTCATTGCAAGGGCGGAGTTCGTTATGGTCGCCGTTGTGAATGATTTTGTGCTCTTCTTGACAGGGCAGAGGAGGCAGCGACTGCTGCTAACACGATGCACTCGGATACACTTTTTGGAGGTTTATTCCCTTACTTTGTTTCTTGTTTTGTGTTTTGTGTTTTTGTTTTGCAGTTGTATTTTATTTATTGATTTTATTTGCTTTTAGCAGCCACACAGATACAGAGTCAGCAGCCAGCCACACGATGTCTTTGCTGGAAATTCTTGAGATCCTGCTGGGGCTGGGACTGGGGCTGTGACTGCGACTGCGACTGAGACTGAGACTGACTGAGGCTGTACCTTATTTCTTTTTTGTTCAGTTTCGTTGTCTGCTATACACAATTTTTAATTACATTCTGTTTGATTTTTAACCATGTGTATCACTTTGATTCGTATTTTGTTTTTTTTTTCCCGTCGATTATTGCACTTTGGATATCGTTTGGCTATGGCTTCGTAGAGCTGGGAGTGAGAGAAGAATTTAACAATGTAGGCTAATTTCGAAGTTGTGCAAATATAATTATAATAATTAATTATAAACTGTCTTTATTGCATAAAAATGTTTAAGCTTTGAGTGCAAACTAATTGATTGATTGAAGAAGTGTAAAATGAAGGAATGTATACATTTTTATAGTATTAAGTATTTGATTGTCCGATGATTAGAAATTGTATCCATTGTATAGCCTATCATACTGATAACAACTGTCTGCTATATGAGGTTGATAGAATTTGATTTCGCATAAAAATTAAATAAACAATAGTTTATCCACTTCTATAAAGTTCGTTTGAAAGGGTGTATTTGCCTGTCTGAACGAAGAATTGAAAATTTAAGACTTCTGGTCTAGAAGTAGATCTCAAACAAGAAAATATTTTTAATAAAGATAAATACTCAACCAAAAGGAATGGAAGAAAGCTTTAAATTTTAAATTCCTTCTTAAAACCTTTTTAATAAATTAAACAAATTTGCGTGCAAAATATTTCTCTTCTAGTCTAAGAAGATATCCAATAAAGAAATTCGTAAAATTGAAATTAACTTTTTTAATAAGAATACAAATGCAACAATATGCAATGGCTACAATATTTCTAGATCACGAATATTTCTATATATTTCTAGCCAAACAAAAACAACAATTTGAAATAAATTGTTTTAGTTGCCTTTTTTTCTCCCGATTGTGTAAATGAACTATGCTTTTTATGTTATTCCTTCTAATTTGTTTAACTAGACGCTTCTATCTTTTGCACAGATAGATTTGCTTCTTGTCTAAGAATAAATCTGAACTAATATTTTCTAAAGACATTTGTAAAATTGAAATAAACTTTTTCAATGATAATACAAATGCAACAATATGCAATGTTTACAATATTTCTAGCTCACAAATATTTCTATAGCCAACCAAAAACTACAACTTGAAATAAATTGTATTAGTTGCCGTTTTTCCTCCCGTTTGTGTAAACTATTTATGCTCTTTATATTATTCCTACTAATTTGATTAATTAGACGCTTATCTTTTCATAGATATTTGTCTTCTTATCTAAGAACAGATCTGAACATATATTTGCTAAATGAATTCGTAAAATTGAAATATACTTTTTAAAATACTTTTATATATTCTATGGCTACAATATTTCTAGCTCACATAAACGAAGCCGAACAAAAACTAATACTTGAAATAAATTGTTTCAGCTGCCGTTTTTTCTCCCGATTGTGTAAACTATTTATGCTTTTTGTGCTATTCGTTCTAATTTGTTTAATTAGACGCTTATCTATGAAAAATATTTGTCTTCTTATCTAAGAATAGATCTGAACAAATATTTTCTAAAGAAATGTGTAAAATTGAAATACACTTTTTAAAATACATTCATATATTCTATGGTTACAATATTTCTAGCTCACAAATATTCCTATACATTTCTAGCCAAACTGCTATTCGTTCTAATTTGTTTAATTAGACGCTTATCTGCGAGCAAAATTAAAAAATCGATTCAAGTTCAAAGACATTATTGAAGACCAGTGAGGATGATGCGGAAAATGTTATTTCAATTGCTTTTGATTGAAATGCAGTTATGTACATATGTCTGCATGTCTGCATGTATGTATGTAGGTTTGTATGTATGGTGGTGTGTGCAACACTTTTGCTTTTCACTTGTGCGCATTTGTTATTGTTGTTGTTGGTTTAGCGCTGGCGTTGGCGTTGACGCATGCAACAAATCAGCACAGCAAACGCAAGAATGACACGCAAATAATGTGAGGCACGATCGACGCCAGGGCAGCGTCGACGACGACGCCAACGACGCTGGCGCCTACGTTGGCAGCGACGTCAGCAGCTGTCAAAGTGACATTTTGTCTGCCGGTGCGACACGCAACGAAACGCCAACTGGGAGCGCCCGAAGAGAATAGAATAGAAGTGAATGACCGCCGGCAATTGGCGAACTGCACTTGCACTTGTCTTTGCGTTGCGTTTTCTTGTTGTTGTTATTCCTATTATTAATGTTGTTGCTGTTGTTGTTGTTGTTGTTGTGGAAGCGCACACACTAAAAATTCGCACATTGCGTGCTCATTGAAAGAACAATGCCAGACGTAGGGTATCGCGTGCCACGAATTGGTCGACTGGGCCTTTTATTTTGTTTTTGTCTGCGTTTTTATTTTGTTTGTTGTTTTTCCAATTTTGTGCACTTTTAATTTTCCACTTTTATTGAAGACACAAGAATTAGAATTTCTTACATTTATGGGGAGCACTGATCTAAACGCGTGCGAAAACGAAAACACACCGAAACGCCGAAAAGACAGTCAGTCAGTCTGTCAGCGAATGAAAGACCGTTAGTTGCGACTGCACGCGACGGCGACTCGATGCCATTTGAAATGAGCCACACACACAGAGACGAGGGCGCTTGACTCACACATCTATGCCAATAATCTGTATGTGCGTGCGTGTGTGTGTGCGTGTGCGTGTATGTGTATGTGTGAGCGCCACAAGAGCAACAAAAGCGCCGACGGCTGCTCAGACACAGACGTTGCCGAAAATATTTTGTTTTTGGCCACGTTCGTTACGCGAGACTCTTGCGTGACTGCGCGGCCACGTAGACGCTTTGAGAATCCAACAAGAACTGAAAACGAAATTGGAAAAAACCAGTCCTGAGCGTTCAGCAAAAACAACAACAATGCTGTGGGAACGTTGTGGCACCTGAAACACACAATGTTGTGGCCTTCCAGTCGTCCTGGCAACGCGATCACACGCATACCAAAGCATAGTCGCTGCACTGGAAGCGCAGCTGGAATAGAACCAGCACTTCAGATGTGAGTGCAAGCGAGCCAAACAATGGGTGATGCGCCTGTTCCGCAATTGCCATTCGTTCCGCTCGCCATTGTGGTTGTGAGTGCACGTCTGGAAGCCACTCTGACCAATTATGGAAGTCTATTGGCTATCTTGCTCGCACTCTTACTCAGCGACGTTGTTCACTCATGCGCTTCCCGACTTTTGTGCTCAACGAACTTGAGGGGCGTGTTCTTACAAATATTCACACACACGCACACACACATACCAAGAGCATTATTTCTCTTTCACTCTAACGCACTGGCCAGACGAAATGTCATCTTTTATATGGCATATATGTATGTATGGAAGTGTGCGAGTGCTTGAGGGTGTGTGTGTGTGTGTGTGTGTGCCTTTATCTGTTTCTGCTATTAATTAATTATGGGGTAATTAAAAATTTTAAAGCTCAACTTATATTAGTTATCACTCGCTTGCATCTCTGCCGCTCGCACTCACCATCGCTCACCACCATTTTATCCTGGTATTTTACATGTCTGTTAAATTGTTTGCAGCAATGCAGTAAATGCATTTCGGTTTCCTCTCGTCTTACTTCCGCTGCCTATCACTAATGTTCTTCTGTACGCGATTTTTCATATGGCTGACGTAAATGCAAATTACGGGTTGTCGCTTAGGCGCAAATCACAGGGTTTTTTCCCCTCTTGTTCAAGCCCACCCCTCTCCCTCCTGACTGGACAACAAAGGCCATTAAAGCCCAGTCATAAATGCCCTGCAACAACAAGTATAAAGTACAGTAAGTCCTGTGAATATTTACCCATTTTCAAAATACTAGGCATAAAGCATATGTATTTGTTATTTATTTAAGCAGAAAAGATATTTTGTTGGTGCATGGTGAGAGGGGATGAGAAAAAATGCAAACCACTCCTTACACAATACCTGCCTAACTGTATACATATATATATATATATATATATATATATATATATATATATATATATATATATATATATATATATATATATATATATATATATTTTTTTTTTTTTTAATAACATTGCAGAAGAATTCAAAGTGATGTCCAGCATTCAATTTTTTATTGAATTTTAAGGAAAATAGAACGTTTTCCTTAATTTATTTTCTTTTTATAATTAATTTTCAAAATTACAAAAGTGAAATAAAATACAATAAAAATGGGGCATATTTAATAAAAATTTTTTTTAATTTTCAAGTAAAAATAATTGTAATGATATGGTATAATAAAAATTACTTAAAGTAAGGTAGATTGCGTTGAGTTAACTCATAGAGATGCCAAATAGTTCGCCTTGATTTTAACAAGTTTGCTTTTATTCTCTAAGATCATTTAGGAAGGGTTGCCCGAAACCTGCTAGGTGCTGGACAAAAACAAAAGAAGTGCTCCTCTTTCAGAAACGTATTAGTTCTTTTGATGTCTATGCCTTTAAAAATAATAGGAGGTAATTTTTGTAACCCCTTAATAATTTGCTTTAAAACCTAAATAAAAAGCTGCGGAAATGAAACTTAATCTAGGATATTTTGAAGAATTGTCTACTTTAGACAGTCTCCACTGTGCAACAGCTTACTATGCCGCTTATCTCAATGATTTATTTGTGCCACTGACGACAACAACTACAGAAAAACCTGTGTGCCAAATTCCTAGAAAAGCGCAAAATTAAAAGTGTAATT